GACCCTAATGGTGGAAAGACTGGTCACTATGACGTGCACTGACCACCAGGGGGAAGACGCTCAACACAGGAGCTGCTCCCTCGTGGTCAGTGCACTTCCACAGAGGGAGCGCAGCTCAGCCAGAAGCCAGCTCATGGCTGGCCAGTGCAGCGGCCATGGCGGGAGCCTCTCCTGCCTCCATGGGAGCACTAAGCCATTACTCAGACATCCCCGAGGGCTCCCGGGCTATCAGAGGGATGTCTGACTGCCAGTTTAGGCCTGATCCGGAGCAGGCCTAAGCTGTCAGTCGGTTATCCCCCAAGGGGTCCTGGATTGCGAGAGGGCACAGGCCGGGCTGAGGGACTCCTGCCCCCTGAGCGCACAAATTTTCATGGATCAGGCCTCTAGTATTAATATTAAAAGTTTTCACTTTCACAGTCATCCTTATAAAATATTCTACACATCTATTAAAGTCACTGCCATCCTTATATACATTAAGAGGTTGTTTGGCACATGTTATAGTCATAAATGTTTCCTGGAAACAATTGGCCCAACTTATATACTGTTCACTAAGGTAATGAAATATGAAATTATTTCCTTCTGCATTAAAAATGAACTTTGCGCCCTGGCCAGTATGTTTTTCATGCACGGAAAGGACGCTGGTTCGATTCCTGGTCAGGGCACATGCCCAGGTTGCAGGTTCGATCTCTGGCCATGGAGGTGCAGGAGGCAACCAATCCATCAATTTCTCTCTTTCTCTCTCTCTCTCTTTCTCTCTCCCCCCCTCCTCTCTCTTTAAATCAATTTTAAAAATGAGCCTCCTCATGAAAGTATATAAGTTGTCCCCAAATTGCAATGGCTCTAGTAATCACCTTAGTTTCAGCTTTGAATGGGAAATTTTGCCATAGCCCTACCTCTGCTTGCACTACCAAAATACAAACAAAACAAAAACTCATTACTTCCTTGGCGGGGGGTGGGGGTGGGGGAGGATACACAAAACAAAAACCCGCACCAATTTTCACTTCAAAATGCTTTGGGAAGCCCTATGTAAGGGGACATCAAAACTGAAACAATGGTCCTGGCCAGTGTGGCTCAGTTGGTTGAGCACTACCCCAGGCACTGAAAGGTCCCCAATTGATTCCCAGTGCAGGTTCCATCCCAGGTCTGTTTCCTGCAGGAAGCAACCAATTGATATTTCTCCCTCTCCTTTCTTCTCTCTCTACAAAAATCAATAAAGTTTATATTTTTTTATTAAAGTAAAACAATGAGCATTTTAAAGAAGTCCCTTACATAACCCAACATTCATTATAAATTATTCCTAAGATACACAATAATAAACTCAGAATTTGATATATCATCTCAAAAAAGATTAATCAAATTTGCAAAAATACAAACACTTTAAACACACACACACACACACACACAAGGGCATTGCATTCATTGAATGTAAATATCACTGTGGAAATAGGAACATATTATTAAAATAATTCCTGAATATAACATTTTATTTATTATAAAACTGCAAAAATTGTCTAAAATTCTCAAAATTTATTAACTAATATTAGTCACAGAAAATGTGAAGTGACTATTGCTCAGTTGGTTGTTATGAATAAAGAAACTCCTTCATAAATGTCTACAATTAAAAATTATTATAACATATTATTGAATTAAGTATGAGCAGAAAAATATATCACATCAAATACCTAAAGTATTTTAAGTCATCAAAGTAAACCTACTGCTGGGATGTGAGGTTTTGTTGGTGGTAGTTGTGTTGAATGTCTTTTTTTTTTAGCCCTTATTCTGCAGCATATCCAGCCTGCCAACTTCTATGTTAACCTAGGTTGCTAACTTCTACATTCACATCAAGCAAGCTTCCTTGTCCTTTAACTTTGGTTGGGAAGGTGCTGACCGTATTAGGGGACAGAAGATTAATGAGGTTGAGCTATTTATTTCCCTGGTTCCCTCTCTGTGGGGCGGCTGAGGGTTGGCTCTCCCACTCACAATGATAATGTCATGGGGAATGTCCCATGACCAGTTAATGAACTGGTAGAAAGAAACAATGCAAGGCTGAATTAAATAAGAATCCACCCTATATGCGAGCAGCTGCTTGAAGCTGCTTCTTTACAGTCTAACTCAGGGGCGGTCGTGAAAGTCAGTGGGTGAAGGGAATCTGCCTACAGGGCAAAACTTCAGAGAGGAAATTTGACCGAATACTGTGTGAATGAGAAATGGCTTGAGGTAGCAATGGCGACACTAATCCATGAGCAGTAGCTAACAGGCTGGCCAGCTGGTAAGAGATTTAAAGGAATAAGATTGAAAAATTAATGACAAAGGCATCTGATGGGAGGGGTATGGTAGACATTAATGTCCCGTGTAATCTTCCAGAAAGGGCTTCCACTACAGAGGAGCCTGCAAAAATCTGATTGACAAACTTATCCCTCCTATAGCTGTCAGTCAGTCTTTTTTTCCCCAGTTAATCTTTTTTTCAGTCTCTTTTTTTTTTTTTTTCCAGTTGTTCAATGGGAGGGAGACCAGGATAACTCAGAGGAAGAGTATGCATGGATTTGATGACATGAACTTCTCACCCCAGTTGATAGGGTTATGGCCACCGAACCTGCCAGTAGCAAGAGAAAACACAAAGAGCACCATTCTTGATCAGCTGGTGAGAGGCTGATCCTATTGGACTCCTTTCATCATTGTGAGGAAAAATGATGGGGAAAGGGATCTGGAATCTGTCTTCTCTAGCTACAGTTCTGTCAGTACCACCATTTGTAGACGTACAAAATCCTATTTTTCTTGAATTTTGGCATAATCTCACTTCAGACCAGGGAAAATAATTTATGGCAAAGAAATGCGACCACGGGTTCACGCAAAATATCCCCTGGTCTCATGTCCTCAATGTCTATAAGCAACTGATGTGTTGAAATGGTGCTGGAGCACCATTTGGGAGAAAAACCCTTGTGGATTACCAATACCCAAAGTGTGATATCATATCTCCTATAGATAGAATGAATAGGCCCAGTAATCAAAGAAGGAAGTGAGAGTGAAATCTCTTCAGCAAATAACTCATTGAAGCAATATTTGTTTTCTCTCTCTCTAACCTCTGGCTTTATGCATAGAAGGGTTCTAGTTTCCGTGTGAGAAATGCTTCCACTGGAGAACACAATCACAGCTCTGCTTAATTGGAAATTGATTCTACCCTGTAGCCATTATGAGCTCCTTAAGCTGTTGAAAGTACTGGCAGAGAAAGGGACCACAATAATGGTTGAGGTGATGGATGTTATTTACCAACAGGAAATTAGATTGCTGCCAGACAAGGCGGGGGTGGGGGGGTGGGGTGGGGGAAGCATAACTATTTCTGGAACCTGGAGGTTTGTTTGTTTTTTTCCCCTCTGGAGAGTCTCACTTCTGTACTAGACTGAGTAATAGAAAAATGAGGCAACCAAATAAGGGCAAACCAATCAAAGGCTTATATCACCAGATCATACACCACCAGGTAAAGAATACCATACAGGCTCGTTACAGATGGAGCTTAAGATACACATTGCACAGATGTAGCTAAAAGAATATATAATTATCACCCAGCCAGTGTGCTCAGTTGTTGAGTGTCAACCTATGAACAAGGAGGTCATGGTTCAATTCCTGGTCAGAGCACATGGTTCGATCCCCTGTCAGGGGTGTGTGAGAGGCAGCCAATCAGTAATTCTCTTTTGTCATTGACGTTTCTATCTCTCTCCTTCTCCCTTCATCTCTGAAATCAATAAAAATGTATTTTTTTACAAGTATATAA